AAACTAGGGTGCAGTACCAAGTTGAGTACAGCTGGGGCAGTATTGGACCATTACAAGGCCCCATTGACTCCCATTTTATGAATTTGGAATAAAGTTTCAACATTAATATTTTAAAAACTACAAGTTGTACAGGTACCAAAAGGCATAGCAATCATTTGGCACAGGACCTTTACAGATAGAAATTACAATGGAAGCTGTAGGACAAWGTAGGCAGGAGTATTGGGCTTTCAGAATGAACTTTGACCAAGTTCAAATGTGTTTTCTATACCAGCTTGTGCCTGTCACGTCAGCAGGTGTGTGTAATTAAGGTAATTGTGTGACAATATGAAGTTTGAAGAGATTTTTAGTTGCAGTAGCTGGATTTAAACCCTGATCTCCCGCATGAAAGCCCACAGTGCTCATCATGAGACTATAGGAGATGTGGCAGAGGACAATCCCAGGGATTGGATTGTATGTATACAGAAAAAGTTTACCTTGCCAATGCAATTATTGACACTTAAGTGCAATATATTACAACAACAGGACAACATAAAGACAGTATTACAGTAAAGCATCAAAATACAATCATTAATATTGTAATCACTGAACTACTGAGTTTAAATATTATGAAACAATGGTGCAGTACCATATTGTGTAGATGCAGCAGGGGCCAGTATTGGACCAATACAAGGCTCCATTCACTGCCATTACAATTTATTAAACATTAATATTTCAAAAACTATAAGTTTTACAGGCACCAAAAGGCATAGCCATCATTTAGCACAGGGGTTTTACAGATATAAATTACAATGGCAGCTCTAGGACAAAGTTTGCAGGAGGAGAAGCATGGCAAAGTTGAGATGACTTGGACGGAAACCAATCACAATAGTGTGCACTGAATTGGCAATGCACACTGAATACTGAAGGGAGGACACAGTTCATACAGGACCAAGGAGAAACTTAAATGTAGCCTTTTCAAGACTCTTTTTCTACATGTTAGTTTGTGTGGAGTACAATCAGTGCAGCCTTTATTTTATATTTATATTGCAAAACATATGAAGTCTTAGTTTGCTGGAGGAAACGAAGCAGAAGCTGAAAGAAACCCACAGACTCAGGATGAAGTTTTTTGTTATGGAACACTTTTAATATATTAAAATAAACTGTGCTGAAACAGACTGAAACTCTGGGCTCACTTTGTCCCGAAACTCTACATTTGATCTCTGAAACCAGAGAGGAAAAAAAACAAACAAACAAAAAAACAATCGTACCTCTGAAATTCCAGTCTCACGACGAGAACAGAAAACCTTTAATTATAGGTAACAATAAAAAACTAAACTTTTTCACAGCAGATTTAAGGCAGGACTGATGTATTACATTRTATTTAGCACAGAAAGTCATTGAAGTAGTAGATTGTGTTAGATTGTGTCTTTGTTGTAACAATGCTTCTTAACAATAAAGCTTAAAGCAGTACCTGACTGGCAGCACCTGGAGGTACCAGAAGCTCAGAACAAGCCAATAGAAACAACACAATAAGACGTTTGGCAGAGAATATTTGGCTTTTTTTTTATGTGAACAACCCACATACTCAACTCTACTGCTCATCCCACAAATGCATGTTCCTTACAAATGTGGCTCCATTTAAAAGGGAAATTTCCAACTTTCCAACAGGATAAGATTTATTGCCAAGAAGCATTGTTACAA